TCTACATCATATTTAGAATTAATAATTGTAATTTCTGAACCATGTAAAAGAAGGTTTTCTTTCATAATATTTGACCAAGTTAGTCAAACTGCTGTTTTAGTCAGTTTCTTTATGATTTATTTTAGATTGGTTGTTTTACTGCTAATTGCACCGACTGAACAAGTTAAAGTTGTTTTTACATGTTTGAAGCTTAAGGTGTATTTAAGTGTACTGTGCTGGTACAGAATTATGTAAATTCAGTACATTTATCTCTGTGTTTAAAATGTTTCAAGTCATTTCAGCAATGTTTTTTTAATACCGGATCAGTACTGACCGATATTAAACCTCTGATGTCGATATCGGTATCGGATCCCTAGTGAAAAGCTCGTTCTTTGGTCTCCGTGATGCCGTTTGTTCACTGATGTCCTCTAACAAACTTCAGAGGCCTTCACTGAACAGCTGGCTTTAGACCATCTGCGTACACGGGGGGAGGCGGGGGGAGCGGCGCTACGAAAGCCGAAAAGCCAGCGTCCTCACCTGAATCGTTTCATACCATGGGGTATTCCCCCGCGTAAAGCCAAGCTCAAGATGTCTTTCATCATTCCTGCACCGACACATTCACAAACACAGGATTTTATAGCGACGGGGGAGACATGCTCCACTGCTTGCGTGAGCCACACAGGTCGCAGACTCTTAGATGTGGGTGTGGGAGAGGAACCACGGAGGCTTTTTGAGAGCACATTGAAGCTGCTATATGTGGTTTATGGGGTTCCTAATACGCTCAGCGACAAAAGTGTATCGACCTTTCTCCGAGTGAAGAATGGCCATAAATTTGGTGTACCGTTAACTTCAGGGGTGTCCAAAGTGGGTCCTCGAGGGCTGGCATCCTGCATGTTTCAGATCTCTCCCTGCTGGTAGTAACAACCTTTTCAGCTTGTCAATGTTCCTCTTAGGCCTTCTGATGAGCCATCATTTGATCCAGGTGCGTTAAACCAAATGAGAATAAAAATGAGAATAAACAAAGGCAGGGATGAAAACGATCCTGGTGAGTTTAAGAGCCAGACCGAAAACCGAAACGGAGCAGCAGCATCCAGTCGAACCAAACATCCAGTCCTCCTTCTCAGATCAGATTTTCCACCCGCCTCTGCGCCTCAACTCAAAACACCATCGGAACTTTATCATAAGCGTGTTTAATCTCCTTCTGACCTTCATCGTCAACATTCATGCGGGTTTTCAAGACAAAAAGTCATAAACTTCACAACAATCCCCAATATTTCTGCACACATTCCAAGAAACATGTTGTATTTATTTGCAGAACATGCCAAATTTATAAATCTGAGCATGGGAAGAATGTCCGTTTGGCTGAAGGAAACCAAACAGCACCAACACAAAAGCTCACCAAAAGATCCTTGGACAACTAGCTTTGATTTGCTCTGAGGATCACTTGGTAAAGAACTGGCTGTTGGAGGGGGAACTAATGAGTGGATGAGCGCCTGAGAAAATGAAATAAGAGAATGGGGGACCCACAAATCAACCCGATTATCAGCCCTCGCTCTGTGGAACGTTCCACCCTGTGGCACCTGCAGGCAACAGGAGACAAGTCTCACCAAGCTTCAAACGAATGCGGGGGGAAGAACTGTTTTAGGAACCAAAAAGTCACATTTATAGAAAAAATATCTAATGTCATCATGGGGTGAAGGCTGGCTGCATTTCCAAATGTGCAAAAAATATTAGGAAAAAAAAATCAGCTATTTATCGTGGACAGAATTCTTTTTTTTTTTTTAAAGAAAAAATCTTTCAGTTTGAGTAAATTTTTTCCTCTAGTACAGGGGTGGCCAAGTCCAGTCCTCGAGAGCCACCATCCTGCAAGTTTCAGATGCATCCCTGCTTCAACACACCTGAATCAAATGACTGGCTCATTATCAGGCCTCTGTAGAGCTGATCCCGGTCTGTTGGAGTAAGGATACTTCTAAAACTTGCAGGATGGTGGCTCTCGAGGACTGGACTTTGCCACCCCTGCTCTAGTATATGCAACAGAGGGATTTTATATATTTAAGACGATTCAAATGTTGAGAAAGTTTTAAGTCCCTGAGGCCTATATACCCTTAGTGGTTTCATAGTTAAATACATGTTTAGAATTTTTTTTTTTTACTTGTCTGGCCAAGATGACGGTTCTGAAATAACATTAACACACTAGTTTTCATATCAACCCTTAAAACTAGCAAGACAAAGCAAACAGCGATGTCCAGCTGCACCAAAACGCAACACGAAGTCTTAATTCCTGCGGTTCCAATCGCATGTGCCAACCCTTTTTGACTTTTCCACCCCTGTGTTCCCGCCATCATGCCTCTGCTCTCCAGGCCGTTCCTCCTCACCTGCATGTGATGTTTTCCCTGCACCAACATCTGTGTCGGCCCAACGGACCAACTGAACCGCCAGCACAGTCCATGTTTGTGTGTTTGCTGACATGTTTTAGTTAAAAGATAAAACTTCCAACTCCCTCCCTCCTGAAGCAAATGCTCATTTAATGTACAGACTTAAGCGAGAGACAAAGATTAAAACATCTTTGTTTTAAAAGTCTGGAGGGTTAATAAATGGTTTGTATGAAAACTTCTGGCTGGTTTTGCTGTGTGGCTAACTTATAGCGCGCTGTAGCTAGCGAGTTTCAGCCAAAGCTACCAAACATGCTAGCAGCACACAAGGAGAGTCGGGCATTTTCCCTCGGTTTGAAAAAAATAAAATAAAATTAGGTAACATTTATGCTAAATATCCATGACACCAGTAGGTAGGTGGAGACGGCACTGTCACAACAAATAAACAACAGGAGAAGAAGACTGTTAGCTTAATTCAATTGTTCATTTCACAGCACTCTCATATGTAACACTGACAAATATCGTCATTTGTGAAGTTGAGAATGAACCAGAAAAGTTTCTTTTTTGAAATACCATAAAATTCCCACAACATGATGCTGCCATGATGCTTAATTAACAACTTTATACGACGTCTGACCCTTTTCAATAACATCGTCTCAGAATATGTGATTGAAATAAGACCATTTGGCATTATTAGTCACAGAGAAACAACGTGCGTTCATGCTCGTTCTTCTGTGCCGATTCTTATAAAGACATTTTGTCGACTTATAGTCAAACTCTGATTGCACTTATTTTTTTCTCAAAACACAAACTTTGGGCTTTATTTACAAAGGATGTAACTTATATGCCTGTAGGCACAGACCACCCAAGTAATGCATCATTCATTGCCCCTACACATCCATCAGTTGCACACACACACACACACACACACACACACTGCAAAACAATAAAGGAGGTGGTGCTGGAGGTGGAGGGGTCAATTTAAAGTCAATGCAGCTCAATCAGCTGATTTGTGTTGAGACACGGGAGGTTTTCCATCACTCTGCTTACTTGACTTTCAGCTGATAAATAAATTCCTCTTGCTGACATATTTTCATCTTTTTTGTTTTTTCTTTCTTTCACTGAAACTCAGATATAAACCCAGTTATTAATCACCAAATAAATACTATTTTAACCCTTTCTGTCATGAATGAAACCTGAAAAAAGTGGGAAGAATGAATCGATTTTGGTTTCGTGCAAAGCTGGCCACATGTTAATTAGTGAATTATGGACACATTTAATCTAATTTTCTACACTTGTAGACCCTTGTTCCTTTAATTAGGCAATGCTGATAATTGACAAATAATTAAAATGTCTCACATGGAAGCAAATATTAGAAACGTGTTACAATTAAAGAATAATCAGGTTAATGTGCAGCACGCTAAAGTATTCATTACATACTACATCCAAAACGTCATCATACACCAACACAAAGCGGAAAGAAAATCACATATAATTCTCCATTGAGTTTCGGAGGGGTTTTTAAGAGTTGGGTCTGGACTTTGACTGGACCATTCTAGCACATAAATATCGATTTGAGTTGATGTCCTTCAGCCTCTTCATGGTTTTCTTCCAGTTTTTTTCCCTATAATTATCTCCATTATCTTCCCATCAACTCTACCTAGCTTCCCTGACCCTACTGAAGAAAAGCATCCCCACACCATGATGCTGCCACCACCTTGCTTCACTGTGGGGACGGTGTATTCAGGGTGACATGGAGTTTTCTACCACATTGAACATTTTGCGTGTTACCTAAAAAGTTGAAATGCGATCTCATCTGATCAGAAGACATTCCTCCACATGTTTTGCTAATTATATGCCGAGTTAAAATTACAAACAGCAGGAGTAGATTTTAATAATAGGCTGCTTCTAAAAGCAAATAGGTGACATTTTAGACTCCCCTTCCATTTCTACATGATGCACTTCTTTATGCTGGTCCATTATAAATCGCATTGTCCTCCATCTCTTCTAATAATTATTCTTCAGCTGTCATTTCCGTAACTTTACACCAGGGATGCCCTGCTTTCGGAAGCGCCGGTACAGAAAGAGGCAGAGAAAATTACAGGAGCGTCAAAAATGTCTGATGTAAGCTGCCGAGCTAAAAGGTGTGGCTTAGACAAAAGCCTGCTGCGCTAATGAACTTCATAAATATTCATCAGGAGGGCGGGGCTTACAATGCAAATGAGTGTGAGCGGGTCCACTCAAATATCAGCTGTATTAACAGCGCCCACAGCTGCATTTAAACGCGGCTTCATTGAAAGCTTTCAATGAAGTGATCCACACAACTAAGACAGAAAATAGGAATAATTCATTGATAACATGACCAACAAAAGTTGCATTTAACACTCATTTAAATCAATTCTAAACTGTAAAGGAAAAATAACAAAGCTTAAAGGCGGATAAGACATTTGAGAGGCTTTGCGCGAAAAAAAAAATCCGTCGCTTTTATCTTTGGTTTTCAACAAAGTTGGACACATTTTTCCCTGATCTACACGAGCAGCAGTGGTTTAAATATGCATCAACAATGTGCTGTGTGAGCGGCTCATAAAGCATGAGGAGAGCCGCTTCACCTGCAGGACCAATAGCTGCCTAGAAACAACTAGTACTTACTCCGTGCGTAGATCTCAGCACACAGGAGACAGTCAGCACACAGATCCTGCAACGGAGAAACATTTTTGGTTTACTTTATTAGAGTTATGTGAGGGAGTTTTTCTTTCTTTTTTTTTTTTTTCTTTTTTTCCTGGCAGATGACCTGCACTGGAGCTGCGATCGTGCACCGAACAGCTGCATGCTGGGGCATTATTAGTTCGCACGGGGATTTTTGCAACAACAACAAAAAAAGAAGAAGAAGAAGAAGAAAAGTATTCTTACAGGAATTTCATTTTTGTTATCCGCCTGGCTGCCACAGACTAGTTCCCCCTCTCTTCACCAGCAGGAAGCACCTCAAACGCGCTCATCGGCAGCTCCAAAACCTCTACTCCTGTGTCATCTACACGGATAAGAAGAGACAAAGTAGTCCCTCCGCTGAAACCGAGACCCCCTCCGCAAGTTCCGCGCGTGCGCGCGCGCTGCAAATGTAACCAAAGGAAAAAAAAAAAACATGAACAGAAATCTGGCAAACAAGTTAGAAGTTTGTTCCCACTCACCGAAGTCAAAGCGGTGCACAGGCTGCTGCGCTCTCCGAGCTGCTGCGCTCTCAGCTCAGCGGCGAAAAGCAGCGGAGGGGCGGAGGAGGGGCCACACGTTCAAACACACGCGCGCGCACACGCACACACGACCTCACCCACACATACACACACACACACACCAATGCACATGTCAGCGCCTCCATAACGGAGGATGCAAAAGCACACCGTCTGAAATCAAAGCTGAAGCTCTCTCTGCCATCAGCAGTGGTTCACCGATCTCGCGTTTATCCCATAAAAAAAAGTGCCAAAACTTTTTTTGCATTACGATAAAACCGAACAATTTAGTTGTTTTTTTTAAAATGTACATTGTTTTCTTTATCATATGTGTTAATGTTGCACAAATACTACCAAGTCTAGAAAAAAGTACATGAAAACTTTTTTATTATTGTCATTGTTTTCTCTCTGTTATCATGATTTAATTGTGAAACACCACAAAGCAGGCAGGAGCCAGGTCTGTTTGCACTCCACACATAGTCATGGTGAGTTACTCAAGTTGCAAACAGTCCTCTTTTAGCTCTAGTGCTCTATTTTTATTCATCTTGACCTGAGCCTCCAACGCTGTTTTTAACAGCCTGTTGATGTATCTGTTATGCCGATGACGTCATCCTCCTGCTTGAATCTGAATAATCTGTAAAGCGGGATCTCAGTTAGTGATTTTTGTCATTTTTTTTCTAGCTCACTGATGTCATATTTATGTGTGACATCTCCATTTGCTCCGACTCCGAGTTAAAATGTGGATCGGAAACAATGTAAACTCTCAGAAGATCACATGTGAGGTTCCTCAAGGCTGTATTCTCGGGCCATTTTTCTTCACTCCATTACCTCTTTCCTTTCATATGCCAATGAAACAAATCCCATTTTTTGTCACCACATTACCGTATTCGAGTCAGTGTGTCGTGATATTAATAAATGGATGAGTAGGAAGCAGAGGTCAGCGTTTTTGGTGCCCAAAGGTCAGCATTCAACCGTCATGCTAAATCCTACAGCGAACACAACCAATGTAAGGGCAAAATAATACTGACAAGAAAGCATTGCTAGTGTTTGATTTGATCTACAGCAGGCTTAATTTGGTAGTCTCCATAAAAAAAAATAAATAAATAAAAATAAATCAGGCAGCTGCACTGGCCACCTGTTTGTAAACAGGGTAGATTTATCCCATGAACTATCAGATATTCACTCAGACTGTGTTCACTGGACTGGAATTAAACAAGAGGATGTCAGTTTCTACGCTTCTCAGCTGTGGAACAAACTCCCTGAAAATCTGAGTTGCTCAGAAACAGTTGACATCTTTAGATCGCGATTAAACACTTTAATACATACATGCAGCTTTCCCATCAAAATTGACTGTGTTTATTACCTTATCTATTGTTTTTGACCCACTAATCGAGAACATATCTGTTCATATTCGATAGTTTACCTCGTTAGCACGATTAGCTTCCTCCTTAGGCTGCTTAAAGTAAACTTGTAACTAAATGACTGCAAAAGCATAACATACCAAGTGAGAACAGTTGAACATGATGTGTTGTTTTCTTTTCTGTTCTATCCTTTTCTAAAAAAAAAAAAAAAAAAAAAAAAAAAATTTAAAAGGTTTAAAAATTGGCCCAAAGTTTTTGAA